ACTCTTTTTTTCCTCCTCCCTTCAGTCCAGTTTGAACCCGTCCCAACAACGAACACCTTCCTAGAACCCATGGAATGTCCTATTCCCCCATAATATTTGCCAGTTCTTCCCAGAAAGACACCTTGGACCCTTCTCCTACCAGTACGTACACTCCCCCAAATCCCCACTCCACCCCACTCACTCACTCTATCTTTGACGAGAGCTGCTAAAGAAAAAGCTCCCTTCTTAATCTTCTTTACCTCCAAGCTTCTATCATCCCACATAAGAAAAATGCCTCCGGCACTTCCCGCTGCTGGGACCCAGTCATATTTCACCCAACTACCTCCCCAGACACTTCTCACAATCGCATCCGACAAAGCTTCCATTTTGGTCTCCTGAAAACAAACTAGGTTGGCATTATTACAATAATATAAGTAGTTTTCTGGGATTTGTTTCTTGGATTTAGTTAATATAATGATCTGCAAAAAAACATAGTCTTGAGACTTGGAGTACAAAGGAAATTTTGGTTTTCATTTGATAATGATATGAAGAAATCATGGGTTTTTACAATTATCACTCAAGTTTCTTTATGCTTGCCTCTTTATCTTGTTCTCAACTTGTGTCAAAATCAGAAGCCAATTTTAAGGAATGGAAATGAGAATATTCCTATGGATATATATTTTATCAGTGTTACTGGTGGTGTTAGGCCTATTGAAGAACAGACCCTTCTTCTCAAGCAGGTCAGTTTCTCAATTAATCTAATTTTTTTTTTCTTTTGTTATTTGTCAAAAGGAATGCTTTTTCTTTAAATTTTCCTTGTTGGGACATGGTTTTTTAAGTTTAGTTTTGGTCTGGTGAAGTTTAGTTTAAGTTAGTTCAGTATGTAGTAGAAGAATTTAGCAACTCAGCTTTCTATTCTTTTTGCATTACTTGGCTGAGGAAGAACAATTCAGAATTCCATATATGTCATTTGGAGGTGTGCTCATACAAGATTAGACAAGATTCGAAATGATCACATTCAGTAGAAGGTGGCACACGTTGAGGATAAAATGATAGAAGGTCGCTTGAGATGGTTTAGCCATGTCATGCGTTGACCTACAGATGCACCATAAGTGTGAAACTATTGTTAGCGAAGATGTTAAAAGGGGAGGAGATAGATCATAAGGAAGGAAGTTGTTTAGACATTTAATCTCTTTAAATCCATGCAAACTTAGCAAAACATAGGCACAATGGAATAAAAAGATTATATATCTGATATCAATTAGTTGGGAATATAGGTGTTAACTGGACGGGCTGGTAACGGGTTAGGAAACTCCGGTCTAATTAGGGCCCGTCCGGGTTTGGGATTAACGGGTCCGAACCGGGCCGACTTATTTTATTTTATTTTTTAGTATATTTTATTTTTCTTATTCAATGTTATTGATACTTAAGTGTTTGCAAACTTTTAAGGCTTAGAATTAAACTTTAAATTTAAAGTTTAAAATTTGAAATATGAAATTTGAATTTTAAAATTTTAAAATTTTAAAATTTTAAAATTGAAATTTGAAAGTAAGTGGCTACAAAAAATTATTTAATAAGACCAATAGACATAATATGTAAGGATCAAACTCCGAAAGCTTTCGTTTTATATTTTCATTGAATAATAAATAATACTTCAAATTAATTTGCAAATTCTATTTTGAATTTTTTATTTTTGAACTTGCAAATTAAAAGTTTACAACAATTATAAAAAATAAGAAAGAGTACATCACATGCTTTGCATTAATTTTGTAAGTTAATCCATGTCAACATGAGGTTCTTGGTTTCCGGCATTGCTTGAATCAAAACCATAAACCATTATATCTCCAATTTCTTGGTCCTCCGTTTCATCTACCTCTTCACGCCCTTGATTTCGCCGTTCTGATCTTATCCAATTTCTGAAGCATACTAGAATTTCCAAAGCGTTGTTGCCCAAGGAATGACGGGTATCTCCTAGTTGCTGCCCTAATTGGCTAAATGCGCTCTCTGATGCGAATGTTGATGCAATTTTAATATTGTAATAGCAGCATTGTTGTTAGAAGCATTATCAAATGACATACACAAAACTTTTTCTGAAAGATTGTAAAATATAGCAACTTCATGGATAGTATTACTTGTAAATGCACCAATATGACTTTGATTTTCATCATATTTAAAAGCAATAATACGTTTTTGCATTCAAAAATTATCATCTATCCAATGGCATGTAACAGTCAAATAATCATTTCCATTAACAGCACGACCAATATCAGAAGTAAGAGAAACTCTACAAGAAAGACTGGCGAACAAATAACGGATATATGTATAATATTGTCTAAAAAGCCTAAAGATATCAGCTCTACAAGTACTTCTAGAAATACCTTTAAACAAAGAGTTATAAATTTTTTGAATATAAGTAACCAGATATGGTGAAGCAGCAAAACTAAAAGGTAAACTACCTAAAACAATTATTTTAGCTAATTCTTCCCGATCTTTCACTATATCGTATTTACCCATTAAACCGCCAGTACCCGAGTTAAGTTTTTGTTGCCCACCTTCCTCATTAGCATCCCATGCAATAGGTGATTATCTATCATGTGCCTACGAAGTTGACATGTTCCCCCTGCCTTACCCCCGGTCTCATGTTTATAAACTTCCTTACAAATTTGACATCTTACATAATTTTTATCTTGTTCTAGTCTTTCAAAAAAATTTCAAATTCCTCTTAATAGGGAGGGGAGGCCTACCCGTATTACCACGACCTCCCCCTAGTATTTTGAGTTTGACTAGCATTACCAGGTGTAGCTGGTGGTGTTTTAATATTATCAGGTGATTGAATATCATCTAAATTATCATCTATACCATAATTTTCTTGAAGTTGCTCATAATCTACATTTAAATTTTCAGGTGAACTTTCAGAAATATGTGTAAAGCTACTAGAAGAACCAGCACCACCTCTTGATTTTTTAGAAGTTTTACTCTTACTACTACCACCCCTACTAGTACACGCTTTTTTGGCAGCTCTAAATATATCCATTATGTAAATTAAATTAAGAAATTAAATCAATAATTCGAAATAATAAAATAAAAATATACACCAAAGAAAAGAAAGAGATGGAACGAGTGTACCGGGATTCCGGATGCCGCACTAAATTTGATAGACTGATACTTGATATTTGATGATATTGAATATTGATACCACACTTTACTTAAATACTTGATATTTGATAATTATAATTTTGTAGTGACTAAAGTAAATATTTGATGAAACTTGAAATAATAAGTAATTGAGAATTTAAGAGCAATAAGCAATATTATCAAGAGAGAATTAGAGTAGTAAGAGAGCAAATTGTGAGAAAAAAATGAATAAGGGGGGCATTTTTTAAAAAAAATTACAAACGGTAACCGAGCTGGACTGGGTTGTAGCCCGGTAAAAATCCGGTAAAGGGTAACCGGGCTAATCAGGTTCCGGGGCACCGGTTACCAAAATATGTTCGTTCCCGCCCNTGTCCCGGCCCGATTAACATGCTTAGTTGGGAACATATTTTAGTCATGTTAGTACGTTTATATTAGGTCCTATGTCTGCAGAAAATGTAGAGAACTTCTTGTACTTTTTATTTTTATTTTATATAGTATTCATATGAAATGAGCTTAAATCGTTGTTCTTTTGACAAAGACTTCATTTCTTTTGTTGTGATGTTAAAGTGAAATTCGTGTGATCAGAGTCATGTCTTTTTTATTATATTCATTTTTGGCTGATCCGTTTTGACTGGAAGCTTCTATTGAATGAAGGTGGAGAAGGTAGCGAAGAAGTTCAATGCAAGATTTGTTATCAACATAAGCGAACTTGGGGAAGATGACCCGCTCGTGCAAAATGTAAGCCCTCTAATAACTTTAAGAATGCAGAATTCAGTGATTATATGAATTAAATTGCAGCAATGCTCGTCCAGGATCTAACATGCATCTACTTAATGGATCGTGTCAGAATTAGATATTTTACTAAGTTTTCTTGGTTACCTACTTCACGACTATTGTTTGGTTTGGGTCATATTTTCGAAGATGCCAAAAGCACAATTCATTATGTGCATTATACTGACTTCATATTGTTTCAAAAATTGGGAACTGATTGTACTGCTCGGTCTTAAATCATCAATAATGAGAATTTGATGAAATGATAATCTTATGCCTCCACCGTCCCCTTCCTTGGTAGGCTACTTGGCATTTTCCTTCCGCGAAGATTCCATGGTATGCTCCTCTAAGAAAAAGCAGTTTGTTCTCTTGGGCTAACATTTTAACTTTTAGATCTGTGTTTCATCATTTGAAATGGATTGTCTTTGCGGTTTCCCTTCAGCCATCCTCAACTTGTAGGTACTCTACTCGAGCTCTCAAAGGACGAGGAGTGAATCACTACCTTATACAATTCAAGTTTGCCCAACCATCCTCAACTTGTAGGTACTCTACTCGAGCTCTCAAAGGACGAGGAGTGAATCACTACCTTATACAATTCAAGTTTGCCCATGGAAGCTTAGATATTATAATTGTGGATACAGGATTATATGAGATAAACGCTTGTTTCTTTTATCTATTCAAATTGGCTTTCTGTGCATGTTACCAAGATGGTGTTTTTTTCCCTTATCCCTTTCCCTTTGGTTTGGGTGTGTGCCATTCGTTACTACTAAAAACTGGGGATTTTCCTATTTCTTGGAGTGTGAACGGTTAAATAATCCTAGTCCCATATGTAGTAGGAGTAGAATATGTTCTAGTCTGATATGTAGTAGGAGTAGAATATGTATTATATATAGGACTCATTGTATCATTGTTAATAAATAGATTTTTTTCCCGTGCATTCTCACATGGTATCAGAGTTTCAGTGAGAAAATTATCGTTGTGCATCATTCCAGCCACATCCGGGAAGAAAGATCTCGTCTCCGTGCAATTTTCCGGCAACTCCGTCTTATTCTCAGGGTTCATCACTGCAACAATGGTACCGTGCATATATACCAGTACCACCATTAGATCTGAAATCCTTGTGCGACCAAACCCCAGAAATTCCAGTCCCATCGGAACAGAAAAGTAACCGTTCGTCTTTCCGGTTGACTCCTCAAGATTGATTTGTGTAATCTCCTTATCGGTAAGTGTTGTGCGAAAACCAACACTACCATCTTGTTCGGAAAAGTCAAGCGACAAAATCCCAGTAAATCACTCCGGCAGAAAGTCCCTCACGCACCTCCACACGTTGCCCGAACTAGGGTTCCGACGAGCGCGTGGAACACTTTCCAACCAGAATTTTCAAATATTTTCTTTAGGACAGTTGTTTCGCGGGGTGATTCCGAGTCCACCAGTACAATTTCCTACAGATCCCGAGAACTTTGAAATTTTCCGGTGAGCTACAGTAATTTTTCCGGCGCGTGTGAGCCATTCTGGCCACTTTTTGACAATACTTCTTCAGGATAACTTCCTCGTCTAGTGATTCCGAGCCTACCCATATAAATTACATCAAATTCTGACAACTTTTATTTTTTCCGGCATGAACATGATTTTCTGACGTGAACAGTAATTTCCAGAAAAGTTTCTGTTTTCTAACGGTGTTTTAGAATCTATTTTGTAGTGTGGAATTCGGCTTAGTCTCACTATTTTCAAATTTCTCCGATAACATTTCGGCCAACTTCTGTTTATCAGCAACCACCTGATTTTGTTGCTCAGGGGGAGTCTAGTCACTAGTGGCCTTGTATGTCACTTGCGCCTGTCACTTTATGGTCTAGAGCAGTCTCCTCGAGTCTGGTTTGGTAAGTTCAGCACAATTATCCAGGAGTTTGGCATGACTCGTAGTGAAGTCGAATGATCAGCTTGCATATATTTTCACCAAGTCCCTCACTGGTCCTCTTATAAGTTACATATGTAACAAGCTCAGTACATATGATTTGTATGCACCGGCTTGAGGGGAGTGTTAGATAGTTATGTGTAAATAATTCTAGTCCATATGTAGTAGGAGTAGAATATGTATTATATATAGGGCTCATTGTATCATAGTTCTCCCGTGCATTCTCACAGTTACCATCTCTTTCTTTTCCCTTTTTACCAGACCAAGAATTGCTTTATTTTAACTTTGATTGTCTCTATAAAATGAGTGTTATATTTTGCTTATAATGTTTTTACTTTATACTCCCCCGATATGGCTATAGCTTGCTTGTGAATATTCAGAAGGTTAATACCAAAGGCCTTAATTACATCAAATGTGATTGCTTGTCATCTGGATGATATTTACTTTCAGCTTCTTTCGGATGAAAAAGGGGGTTACTTGCCAAATTTTAGCTTGTGTTAGATTTGATAATCTTCTAAGTAATTTCGGATGAAAATGGGGGTTGCGATGCCTCCTACTATGGCAGTTGGCAGGGTTCTATAAGCACTTTCAACTGGACGTTAGCTTTTATACTTGCGTTTGGCATTATACATAGAGCCAGGGATTCCCTCCTATTCAAATTCAGAGATTTTAACTTTTTAGGCAACGTTGAATGTTAGTGTAATTTACAAAAGGGATGATTATAGAAGAATGAAGATGTTTGTAAACTGCTACTGTGTATTTTATGAGTGCAGAAATGGCTTATGACCTTTTGTATCCTAGCTACTTATTGCCCGGATTCTTTTCAGCGTCTCCCACAGCTGATTCCTTGTCTTGCTTCGTTTCTTTCTGTTAGATCGGAAGTTGGTTTTCGAGAAAATAAAAATGGATCTTCGAGAAAACTGCTTTTATCATACCTATATTTGACAACGCTTAGAAGTTGGTTTAGCCTTTTGCTGTCGAGCTTTCTACAGTAAACTTTTAACTTTGTTGTTCTTGTTGCTAGGTTGCTTCAAATGGTGCTGGAGATAGGCAATCACAGTGGCTGAAAGAGACACTTGAAAATAGTGAAAGCAAATGGTACCTTCAAACTGCATTATTTTACTCCAAAGAGAAAATATGCTATTGCATTGCCTCAGCAGTTGTGGCCTGACCTCCCTATGTGACTAAAGTGATATCGTGTAAATGCAGGTGCATTGCTGTCGGATTTCATCCATTGGTAGCCTGTGAAGATGATGCTACTCAAACAGAATTAAAACACGAATTACAGTCCTTACATGGCATATTTCTGAAGTACGGCATGGTAAGTCAAGATTCTAATGCTAAAAGTCCATCTCTCCGTTAACTTCTTAGAGCAAGAAACCTGAGTAATACTGTAATACCAGATACCATCTTCATCTGCAAAATCTGATTTTCTATATGCATAAAATCTAATAACAAATGGAAGACTCTAAACTCGCATATCTATATGCCCGAAAAACATATGCTAAGCGCCCAAATCAGGTATATGCTTGACACGGCTTTGCCTTAATGCTAGAACTGTGGTGAATGCATCTATCGTCACTGATGTATAAATAAAGATACCAATTAGTAGTGATTGAGTTCCGTCCATGGTTTCGCATAAGAAACCGGTACGAGTATAACCTACATGTTTTGCTTTTTCTTGTTTAGGATGCATATATAAGTGGACAGTCTTGTACTGATAATGCTGATAAAAGACCTATTGCAAAATCCAAAACTGGAACTGCCAGATATAAAGGACCTTTGCTTACTAAAGTGAATCAGAACCTGCCCTACTCTGTGTGTATTTCTCTTGATATTCAGTAGACTTTTGAGACTAAGTCTACACTTTATTTCCAGTGTCATTGTATAACATTTTCTCTTAATTTTTTGGTTTTCTTAGGCAAACTGTAAATGGATCTCCTTCACAAAGTCAGTGCTCTAGAGATTGTAAGTATTTTGAATCTGTTTAAATATTTCACACAAGCACCTTATATTTTGATGTTATAACAACTAGTATTTCTAGCAGGTATCATACTTAAGTCACATTCGAAGGTGATGTTGTGCAGAAAATTTTTCTGCATCAAAGAGGCAAAGAGATTATGTAGATATACTGCGAACGTTGATGTTTGTATTTGTTATTGTTATGAGGAGTGAATGGAGATCCAATCGATTTTTGGTGATGAATCCAACTTTTTTCCCTTTTTCGGAGTAAGGAGGGAGCGGGGCGGGAGGGGAAGAGAAGGGACAAAAAAAGTGAATTCAATATTCGCGCTCAAGTTCGAATTAACTGAATATTCACCATTGAGTCCACAGTTGGGAGGTTCAATAAAAGGCAAAAACGTTTTGATATAGGGTGTGTTTTAGTTGGTCAGTTTGCTTACAACCTTTTTGGTTTGCCTTAGTTGAAATTACTAGCTTTTTTGCAATTGTAAATTGTCAAATCTTTAAGGTGTTCTGCATATGTTCATTTTGAATGCAACTTGATCCTTTCCTATTTTTCCTTGAAAAGTTAATGCAGCCTTTTTTAGGACTCGTTTGGGACGAGGTATAAGGAATAATTAAATTATCCCGAGATTAAATTTGAGATGAGTTTATACCACGTTTGGTTGAGATAAAATAACAGTATAACTAATCTCAGTATTAGTTATTCCGGGATTGCAGTGTTATTTTTATCCCTATGGGATGGTGGAATAATAATCCCCAAGATAACTAATTTCGGAATAATTAATAACTGTCTTCACAACCAAATAAACCACCTTTAAAAAAAGCTATCTTTTATAATGGTTTAAAATACGCTAATAGTGCAAGAATATTTTTATATTGCTATTGTATGCAACTTAAATCTTCTGTATACTTCTCCTGCATAAAAATAATGTGGTTGTGCTATTAAAGAGTAGGAAGTGAACTAGTTTGTCTACCATGTTTATAAAGTATTTTTGACTATAATAAATTGTGATTTTAGAAAATAAAATGTAGATTTTAATATTAAAAGTTTAAGAAGCTGATGTTAAAATTTCCACCAAGATTAATTCAGTTTTTCCCTCTCTTTCAAATATACATACACAGAATGATTTCCTATGCACATTAACTTCATCTTCTTCCTCCTTGAAACTATCGAAACAATGACCAACACTCCACCGACTAACCACATAGATCCACCTGATCTGAGTTCAATGAATATTGATGATCCAATCACTACACACCAAAATTCATATTTTATGCAAACATTACTATATAATCACACTATGTCTTTACCCCATCTCTACTACCCAATACTATCTTGACATGTCAACTGAAACAGTAGAGCACCCACCTCAGTGGGTTCTTAAACAAAAATTACAATTTCTATGGAAACCCATGAAATCACTGTCACTCATTGATTTAGGGAATTATTTCTTCCTAATCAAATATCAAAAGGAAGAAAATATGAATAAAGCATTACACGAGAGTCTGTGGTTTTTTTAAACCATTTACTCTCAGTTAGACGCTGGGAACCTAAGCTTCTAGCCTCTAACACCAAACTTACCTACACTACCATATGGACTCGACTGCCAGAGCTACCCACGGAGTTTTATGATATTGAGAGCCTACAAAAAGTGGGAAATAAATTAGGTAAACTTCTCAAAATTGATACTTGCATGTCGTCTACGACTAGAGGGCGCTATACTCGAATATGCGTAGAAGTACCCCTAGAAAAATCACTCTCAAGTCACGTGTCTTCATTAGGACCCATCGTCAACAAATCCTTTACGAAGGACTTAATATGCTATGTATCACTTGTAGACGAATAGTATATTCATGTTAATTGCCCCAATCACAACACTCCAACAAGTACATCACAACAATTGAACACAAATTCATTAACTAAAGATAATGATAGGAAGGAGGTACAAACTCAAGAATCGGAATGGAAAACGGTTATATTCCCCAAACGACCTACAAAACACATGTTAAAACAGCACGCACCAATCTCAAGCGGCAAGGATACACATCCTTGCACTTCAACGAGTTCCCGTAAAGGAAAGCTACTATCGAATTCACATGTGGAGGTGATTATGGCAGATTATACAGGTACGCACTCAATTAATTTTTCTGCTACCCCCTAACCCCTGTATTACCACAAAAATTAATTGCTAACAAACTAATAGCAATAAAAAATAGTTTTGACCTATTAATACAAGTCCAACCCAATAACAACATGCCCAACAACCAAACACGGTTACATCCAACGAGTACACCCTTTTACCACCTCATTTACCATTATCAACTCTAGAAAATAACCTATCCAATATCCCTACCTCACACATTATTAAGATGAATAGTATACCTATAGACATGAATCCATTATATTCACCTGCCACATTGGAGGCACCTCCCAAACTAGCCAATCAAATTTTGAGTGAAACCCACTATCAAAATCCTAGCACAAGCCCACACAAAACTACACAAAGCAATCATGACCCTTCAACACTACACCCTACGCCCAATTCACTACACAAGATTGCCACTCTTGTTCCCGTGCAGACCACCCAATCGATTCCTAGCCCACGTAATAAGACCACTATACACGAAACTACTACTTCTACTACAACACAATCGCCTTCATTACCCTCTCCCACCTCCACTAATACTGACAAGATATTATTAATTCAAGAATCTCACATGCAACATACTTCTTCTAACTCATCATCTATATCAAACTCTAGCCATGCAAAGACACCATGCACCAACATTTCCTCTAAGACCTCATCACCAACCACCATCCTAACTTTCCTTCAGACCACTCAACATCCAATACCTAGCCCCAGCAACCATGCAAAATCATACACCACCTCCCACAACTTATCCAGTGATTTACACATCCCAAGCACCAAATCCCTTCCACACGCCTCAATCATGATTGTAAATGGAATAGCAAAATCATGCACTCACGATCTCAATGATAGTGAACAACCAAGAGGTGATAGTTCGTCTCCAAAACCCACAGGATCTGGCTCAAATAGTAACGGAGGGCATGACAGCAGTCGTGAGCCTCTATGGACAGTACCATTGGGCGACAACACATATAACAGCCAACATTACATGGTGGGAACCCTTTTCCTCACTTACAGAATCAATTCACTCATCCAACCTATGCGGAGCTTCCTTTTTACCCACCATCCCAGTCCCAAATCTCCTGGATATACGAATACATACACATGTCACCTCTCATAATGCCCATGTCGCCAATGAGCCCATTCGAACCACTCACTCCCTCAACCAGCTCATTGAGTCCACAACCTCCAAGCCCAAGAGATCAAGAAATACTGCACCCCAGGAAATAGCAGTAATCATGGAAGAAATGAGAGAAACAAGAACGGAGCTGGTGTGGCTAGGGGCATGCGATATCTCCGTCCTCAAGGAGCAATACGAAAAAAAATACTACAAAACTGTCCACCAGATGTAACCAAGTGCCTAATCAAACTGAGACCAACAGTGAACCCAGAAGACGGGAAATTTACAGTGGTGATCATACCAACACTCAGGGAGGCATCTCAGCCAACCAACGAGGAGGATCAAGTCATGGTGGAGCAGGAAAAAGCCCCACCACACCCACTTCCACGTAGTAAATCCATGAAGTTTGTCATCTGAAACTGTAGGGGTGCCCAATCTCCAGAGTTCAGAAGGAATTTTCGATCCATGCTAAATTACCACAAGCCACCATTGGTCGTTCTCCTAGAAACACACCTAATGGAACATGCACTACTTAAGGACGACTTTGACTTCACAAATCTCTCACAAGCACCAGCGGAAGGACAGGCGGGGGCATAATAGTTTTATGGACTAACACTCCAGTTAATGTTATTGAAATTGTCGTCACAAAACATAAGATTCACTGCATGGTCCAGGTATGTCCCCAAGGTCTACCTTTTTTTATTATCAACTATTTATGCAATCACAATATTATCATCTAGGAAAGTATTATGAAAAAATTTAATGACTATCGCTAATACTTATAAAGGTCCATGGATCATAGATGGTGACTTTAATGACATTCTATACTCGAATGAAAAATTTGGCAGTTGTGCTTTAAATAACAATAGAGAAGACTTGATACTTAATTGTTTTAACTATTATAATCTCATAGACTTAGGCTTTAAGGGAAGTAAATATACATGGACAAATAAACGTAGAATATGAGCCATGATATTGGAAAGACTCGATCGCATAGTTACCAATTATGAATGGCTAACCCTTTAACTAGAAGCCCACGTTCAGCACTTACCCAGAACTCATTCCGATCATTGTTCATTATTGTTAACTCTACACACAAAAAAACCTCACGAACTAATATTTTTAGATTCGAAATGATGTGGTTAACACATCAAGAGTTTCTTCAATTAGTAAATCAAGTGTGGAATACCAGCCTTCCTTTACTGGAGGCAATTGATAATTTTACTAACTTAGTCCAAATATGGAACAAAGAAACTTTTGCAAATATTTTTTATAAAAAATAATATTCAAGCCCGACTAGAAGGAACCAAAAATCATCAAATTACCCCACTAGAAACTTCTTACAATAATTAGAAAAAGACCTTATTTGCCAATATAATCAAATACTAACTCTTGAAGAAAAGTTTTGGAAATTGAAATTTCGCGTTAATTGGCTTAACCAATGGGATAAAAATACAAGATTTTTAGCCTATCTACACTAAAAAGAAAATGTCGTAATCGCATAATTGCACTCAAAGATTCATCAGGTAATTGGATTTCAGATTACGACCAACTTCAGCAATTAATTACGGACTATTATTAAAGCCTTTATACAACCTCTCACAATGCTTATCCTACAACTAATTATAATGCACTATCACAAGAAGATGCTAGCAATTTAACATCACCAGTAACTGATCAAGAAATCATTGAAGCTATCCATTCTTGTCGGGCACTAAAATCACCCGGACCCGATGGACTCCATCCATTATTTTTTCAAAAATTCTGGCCTCAAATAAAACACTCGGTAATTCACTTCTGTAAAAATATTTTCCAACATGGACACATTCCCATTGAGTTAAACAAGACATTTATTTATTTAATACCCAAAATTAAAAGTCCATCAACCACGACTCACTTCAGACTTATCAGTTTATGCAATACCCTATACAAAGTCATTATAAAAATAATTGTTAATCGCATCAAACCTCTTCTAGACAAAATTATTCACCCTACTCAGTGTGTTTTCCAAAAAAATCGACGAGCGGCAGACAATGCCATAATCGTTCAAGAATTACTAAATCATTTTAGAAATTCTAGGTCAAAATGCTCAAGCACACTTCTTAAAATAGACCTAGAAAAAGCTTTTGATCGGAAGGAATAGAGCTTTATACGCCACACATTAACCTATTTTAATTTTTCTCAAAACTTAATATCTCTCATTATGTCATGTGTCTCCCCAACATCTACCGCAATACTTTTAAATAGTTCCCCCACAAATTTCTT